TTCCAAGCCATCTTGCCAGGTCAGGGATGACGCGGCGCGTCCAGGCCGCCTTCGGGGTTAGGTTAGGTTAGGTTAGGTTAAATATCAAGTATCTATAAATAATTTAAATTTTATATCGAAAACACAAAACATTGATACCAACCCATCTAGTCTCCCCACCCACCCCGAGTTGTGACAACCCATGCAGTTGCATTACTTGAGAAGATAGATATACGCCACTGAATCTCCGGTTAAGTGTCGGTTAGCACTAACCGGCGGTTAAACTGAAATTTAACGGACAGTTGGTTCTTACATACGTCGGTTATGTGAAACGCCTACGGTTACCGGGAGTTTTACGGTCGGATTTTTAACCGGCCGAATTCGGCCGGTATTCCTCCGGTTAAATAAAATCTCTCGGTTTGTGTTATCAACAATAGTTTTTATCATCATTTGATTATTCATTTTTGTTTTTAATTCGACGTTGGAGTTTCGAAGTAGTATTGTGGATACATTTTTGTTTTGTTTTTTTGTTACAATTAAAAATTATTATGGATAGAGTTCTTCATAACTACGGTTTAATTGACCAAGATAGTGATTCATCTGACTTTGAACATGAAATGGCAGAACTTAACGTTCCTATTCGGAAAGAAAAAAATTTTGCAGAACGCAAAAATTACTTCGAGTTATTAGACGAAGTAGAGTTTCAAAAACGATTTCGTTTAAAGAAACAAACTGTAGAGATGGTCCTGCAAGAGTTACTTGATCTGATAAAATACCCCACAGACAGGTAATTTAACATACTATTAATTTTAATTAATTTTGTAAACATTTTGTAATAATGTTAAAAACCAATATTTCAGAAACAATGCTATTTCTCCAATGATTCAATTGTTATTAACTTTGAGGTTTTTTGCAACGGGGAATTTTCTAACAACAGCCGGTGATTTTAGTGGTGTTAGCGTTGCAGCTGCTGGACAAATTGTAAAGCGTGTCAGCTATGCATTAGCTAAAAAAAGTGATAAGTAAGTAACTGTATAATTATAGAATATATTTCTTTGATTTATGCGAAGAGTATTCAACATATCGTTAGTATTCCGGAATAAAAAAAAGATATATACATACTTTACTTTTTACTTAATAATTAATTAACATTTTGTGTTATTTTATTAAAAATACATATTTTTTTTTTTTTAATCGACTATTTTTTTTTTGCGAAGCCACTTGTCACTTGCAATTTATATTTATCTTATAAACGACAACATGAACATTATCTTATCACATTTCATAATAATAGCCAAAACAAACTCGTCGTAATATTTGTAGGTAGTATTAATCTCCTAAATTATAAAAAATTGTTACATTGCGAACATTTTGTAAACTACAAAATTACTCTACCTATTTTTATTCTGATGGCCGTTACTTAATTATAATATGTAGTACAATAAGGGTACAGACACAGTGGTATAATTGAGTACGGGCCAGACCCCGCATTGCAGGGGGGCACGGTAATTTGGGCCTTTAGTTATAGGGTTATATTTGGTATATCAAGCATACATAGCTACAGCATACATAACCTTTAGGAGCCCATTTTTTATTTTTGCGGGGGGCCCAAATTTTTGTTATGCCACTGTACAGATATCTGATATGAATATATCTATAATTTGTTTTTGTAGATATATCAAAATGCCTAAAACAACTGCAGAGATTATGGAGGTGAAAATGAAGTTTTATGGTATAGCCCGTTTTCCAAAAGTAATAGGTGCAATTGATTGTACCCATATCAAGTTGCAATCTCCATCAAGAGAAAACGGAGAACAATATCGAAACAGAAAGGGGTATTTTTCACTAAATTTACAAGCTTTGGTTAATGCAAATTTGGAGTTTTTGAATGTAGTGGCACGTTGGCCAGGGTCAGCACATGACAGCAATATTTTTGCAAATAGCAGGCTCAGGGCAAGAATGGATCTCCATGAGTTTAAAGATTGTGTAATTCTGGGAGATGCCAGCTATGCACTATCCTATTACTTACTAACACCTATAGAAAATCCAACAACAAGGGCTGAAAGATTATACAATGAATCTCAGATTAGGACTTGTAATGTGGTGGAACGGACGTTTGGAGTCTGGAAACGAAGATTTCCTGTCTTATTTTTTGGACTCCGTTTGAAAATGGAAACGTCAATGGCAGTTATTCAGTCCTGTGCCATACTTCACTACATTGCTCGTTTGGAAAATGATCCACAACCACCAGATGAGATTGAAAATATTACACAGTTATTAACTAACGAATTAATGGATATAGAAGATGCCATCCAGCCAGAACATAATAATTCTAGTCTGAGAAATGCTCTTATAGCAGAACATTTTGGTCTCATGTGATGCATCATATAACACATGATGTAATGTAAATAATTGTA